GAAGGGGAATGTATGTACTGGAACAATGGGAGGATTGAGGATTGAAGATTGGTGATTAGCCGGAGGATTAGCCGGAGGATTAGCCGGAGGATTAGCCGGAGGATTACGCAGGTGGCGATCGGATAATTCACAGCTGTCCTGTACCCCGTCTTGTAAGGTGTCTCGGCCGCCGCCCGGAGAATGGCCGCCGCGGGGATGAATGGATGACGGTGTAACAATGAACTCCGCCTCGTTGACCCTAACCTTACCTAACCTAACCCAATCGGCAAATTTTAATGTATTATATTTAAAGAAAAAAAATCTTCATTATTTTTATCAATTTTTATATTATTATTTTTAACAGCTAATTTTTTGATTTTCAACCTAACCTAGCCTAACCTGTTTTAAGCTGTTATAATTTTTAACGGTCATTTCTTAATAATATTATTTATGGATAATACATATAAAATATTATATTACTTTTAAATTTTGTTTTAAAACACCGTTTAACTGATGACATAGAATATGATATTTTATTTAATACAAACCTTAAAAGTAAAAATGGCAAGTTTCCATTTAGTACAATATTTTATCCTTATAACGCATAGAAATCATGCATACACACCTTAAGCTCATAGATATATGAAATTATGTAAATATTATGGTCAGATTTTTTTTTTACAATTCTTACTAACCATAATGTTATAGAATCGATTAATCCAGACCACACACCCAAGGTTACCGACAAAGTGTCTTATATACAACGACAAAAAAAACATGAACACGTAAATCACATATGCATCTACAGTTTACCGTCATGTGGGTCTACATGCCTCGACATGATACGATATGTTTAAGGTCAAAGCAGGTGGTTTTTAAACTGTCCAATTCTAATATAATATTATATCGATAATGCACCCTTACAAGAGGGTAAAAACCGTGAACACGCAAAAACATATAGCATCTACAGTACACCGTCAGATGTGTCTACATGTCTCAACAGGAAACGACAGGTTTAAGATCAGAGTAGGCATTTTTAACAGTATTTTTAAGAAATCTCCCTTCCAATAACTAAATGCTACAATTTTAATGATTCTAACCCCCCACATGGTATATTTAACGATTCGTTTGCACTAGTGATGGTCTATGGTGCTAAAACATTCATCGTTTAGTGTTCGAGCTCTGCAGTACAACGTTTAAAAGTGAATCAAAGTTTCCAGTGTCTAGTTATTTTTTACACTTAAACAAATTACTTTAATTCATACATCATGGATGGATCGATCGCACCAATCTACAAGAAGCAGAAGTACACCTACATTCCACCGACTCCGCCAAATGACCTGATTGGATGCAGCAGTTATACATTGGATTTCAACGATCGGAAATTTATTCAAATTGGGATCGATCCGAAAAAATCATTTAGTGTAATGATTCATATCATTACACCGTCGCGGTATGTGAGCATAACAAGTCACTATATGAAAACTATATATACACTAATGGGTGATATACTATCAAGCGTCATGGAGAAGCCTGAAAATACACAGACTACATTTCTCTCAGACACCAATCTTTCATTAACTAAAATGGTTTATAAGGATGAAAATGTGCTGGTTATTGAATCTCAAGCTGTAAATGGATGTCGCATTCTACTTAACCGTAGAGATTTGATGAAACTGGCTGAACTAGAATATATTGTTCATGAATGTGTTGAAAAACACTTGGCAATTACAACGGAAAACGTGTATCAACAAATCGAAATGATTATAAAATATTACATGGGCTGTTTCTTCCCAACCAAGGAAACAAGCAGAACAGAGTTGTTAAGATGTATCATGGAGGTATCATGTATTACTATAACTTCAGCAATAGAGCCGATGAGTGAACCTAATTATATTAGTGAAATTAAAAGATTTGCTGTTGAAGAATTGGCTGACGTCTGGATGAAGAAAATAACTGACCGAAATGACATACCTAAGGTATTGTACACATTTTTTTTATTTTAAAAATTTTCATATTATTTAATTAATTAATTTTAAATTTTTTTTAAAGGCAATCGATGTAAATGATGGTCCAACTCGATACGATTGGCGTGGTGAAGAAGAATCACAATGCTTCTCCTTTTCAACACAAGCATACGACAACTATAAACACACGGAGAAGTCAACATGGGCACCTCGAAAACTTGAATTTTAAGTGTATACTATACTGTTTAAATATGGTTTTATTGTAATTTACGTTTCAAATAAAAAGTCAACAAAAATTAATTTTAAAATACAAATGTTTTTTATTTTTTTTATTTAAAATAATCTCTTAACATATAAGGTACATTACACTACATATAGTTACATGAAATAAGTTCATACAATATAAGGTTAAAAACAATTAAATTAATACAAATTATTAAATATAGTTAAAAAAAACGTTACAATTTTCGAACATCACCCGAAAAAGGGTTATAAGTAATAATTTGATCGTGTAGAATCATACAGTACGCTGAGGTATTTGCAGGAAAAGCTTCTAAAGCTTCAAATTCAATTCTTAAATCTGTTGTGCTAACTTTAATGTCGTCATCCTGGTGTGTAAGATCAATGACGGCCACAGGCATAAACTTTAAAAAATTATCTTTATTAAGAAGTGGAGCAACGCTATCTCGGTCATAGTAAGATTTTTGAAAATCGGTATATGCTTTATAGAAAAGTGAAAATAATCCTTTAGAATAGTCAGCACGAAAATCTTCATATGGATACACTTGTGTATTTAAATACACTTTTAAATTAAACAGTTTGCAGTGATCAAAAACAGACATGGATGAAGTATAGGTATTTTTACGGTTAGTTTGAAATCCTACAACAATATATCTTGGTTTTTCTAATTTGTTACATGTACGTACAGACCACGAGTGACGTGCATTTGTTGGGAGTGTAGGATATTCAGATAGCTCCCAAGTCCTAAATGGAACCTCAATCGATTTTCGACTATCTAATATTTTCATTAGACCGAGTTTTTCTTTATTGTTAACTTTAATTAACGGCATTTTCCACACAATTTTAGAAAGAATTATTTTTGTTCCAGCAAGAGCTGTTTTTTTAGCAGCTTCCTCTTCGAATATCTGTAAAGCGTTCGAATCTGTCGATGCTCTATTCAATATTAATTGATGTGAACAATTCATAATAATTTTTTTATAATCTTCACAAAAACCAAATAAATGACTCAGTGGGATAATTCCGGAAAATTGGTCTTCTTGTGCAAATTTTTCATTATCAAATTTCACACCGTCGAATGCGCTATCTGTTAAAGTATACACGTTTGATTGAGTATACGAACACATCCCTTTAAGAGTAGACGTTATACCTGGATTGCGTACTTTTTGAATTTCAACACCGTTAATTTCATAACGTGCTTCGGAGAATAGATATGCCAACCCATTGTTTATAAAACGAACCGATCCTGTAGCGTTAGAAGGCTTTTGTAGTTTACCTTCAATATAAATATAACTCTCACTTGGAAGAGTATAACTATCTGAATTTTGAACTGCTATACGAATTTCATCGTTGTTTGATAGAGCAGAAGTAGAGAATGGTAAAAACGAGTGAAATTCTTTATCAATAATTTTACACTCATCTACACATCCAGATGACACGTCAAGATAAATATCATCCATAATTAGAGTGTGTTTAACGACCGTAAAAATTTCAAATTAGATTTGCTAAGTTTTTTCCTGTTAATATTTCTAGATTTCTTTAGGTGTTTACGTTTTGTAGTTGTCTTGGTGCGATTCTGTTGTTTAATAGATCGTTTAGAGATTGTAGTCCTATTTATATTAGAAAACTTCAAACCCATTTTTTATATATTCTGTTTAATGTGTAGTCGAACTGTGATTGGTTCACCTCTAAAATCGATCAAATCACCGTCCTGATCAGTTAGCAATATACGCAAATTTGATATAGATGTGGTGATAAGAGGATAGTAAATGAGATGTCGAGGTACTTCTATTATCTTATAACCTGCAGCAACTGTAGGATAGAATTGATGAATAATATGGCTTGAAGTCCCATTATCGAATGAAGATGTTATTAGGTTACACTGTACATTTATACAGTTTACTTTTGTAATGTTAACAATACACTGAGACTCATGTTTCTCATCGGGTTTATATATTATCCCAGTATCAAAACCTAATAAGTTACCTATGCTGTCGACCATAGAAAAATCAATTTTATGGCTGCACTTCATTTCACATTTCAAAGTAACAGTGTTAGCTTTTAATTCAAAATATGTAACTATATCGGATAATAGTGATTTAATGGTTGCTTCTAGACTCACTATTTCGTAAGAACCTGTAGGTATGGTTATTAACTGTATGTTAGTAACTGTATCAAGGGCGTTATCACGTACTACTCCAATACGGTTACATCCAGGTTTGATGTTTGGTATAGAGTTGTTTGTTTGAAGGCTTAAAAGACCTAATTCTGAACTATTAGCAACTTCTATAGGGGGAAAAAATTCACATGTTAATTCAGAAGAATTACTGTTAAGTGTTAAAGTTGTCATGGTTCCGATAAAAATTTTAAACACAAGTGTCCACAGTTATATGTATTATATCGTTGCTGTTTTTCACAATTGTAAATGATTTTACAACTTTTTAAATATTTCTGAACTTCAAGCGGGGGTTCTAAGCCAAAGCTATCATAGTAATAAGCACGGTTAAACTTCTTCCGGAGAGCAACCCAGTGGGTACCTGCGTTAACCGAGAGAGATAAATTAATAACAAAAGCTTCTTGGCTTCTTGTATGAACAGGCAACGTATCTCTACAACAGGTTCCCCTGTAATGGGGTATTTTTAAAAGACGTGCACATTTATTAATTTCAAAATCAAATAATGCACGCTTGGGTAGCTCTGATATTAGTTTTTTGAATTACTTCCTCGTTTAGTACTTTTAGGTTTTTTTATTCCTGCCCCTGATGATTTAGGTGCTAGAAATAATCCTTTTCCTATCTTATATTTTCCTTGCCCATAGGGCGTTAAAAACAATCCTTTTCCCAACTTTACAGTTGTATTTTTAGAAGCCCTTAAATCATTAATAGTTTTAACAATATTACTCGCCCGGAAGCTAAAGATCCAACTGCAGTTAAACCAGCTATCAGAGGTAAAATGGGTAAAAACCCTCCAGATTTAGGAATAGATATTATTCTAGGTACTGATTTATTTTTTTTATTTTTAACCACAACCTTTTTAGCTGCTACTATAGCGATTTTAGCCAATTTAACCATGTTTTTCTCTGTACTCTTTTTAACAGCTTTTTTTGCTGCGGATACAGCTTTTTTATAATGAATCCCCATGCCTAACTTCCGTTTAGCTTTTATAGCAGTAGTTACTAGCCAAGAAGCGGCTTTTTCTTTAAGTCCAACGTCTTTAGATTTAACTAACTCCCAAGCATTATCTTCTAATAATCTATCAGCCTTGTGCCTATCATTCAGAGAGTTACTATTATTGTAGGCAATATCATGTTCTCGGCAGAGTTCATCTAATTTATTCACACCTCTATCACCCCGTGCAAGCCTTTCTTTTAATTTAGTCCCAGGACCTGCGAATCTAATAAAAAAAAAAAATATATTTATTAGTTTTAATCATTATTTTTATTATTTTTATTTTTTTTCAATTACTTATATCCGGGCAATTGTAATTCAAATGGAAGATTATTTATAGCAGTGTTTAGTATACCACCACCTTTGTTGGTGTTGTTCTTTCGACGTGTAGACATCATATGAGCCATTACGTTTTTAATCAGATATATTTATACCGTTATGATTTTTTCACCACAAACTATTAAACTTTCAGTTTTAAACGCGGATCCTCCGGAGATGTATCAGACTAAGTCTAAAAATGGGTATTTATTACCAAATTCCGTACGCGCTTTAATTTTAGCCCCTTCTGGAGGGGGTAAAACCAACTGCGTATACTCTTTACTTACTAACATTAATGGGATTAAGTTTCAAAACATTTATTTATACTCGAAAACTGTAGATCAGCCAAAATATAAAATGTTAAAGGATATTATATCCGGTATTGATGGTATGAAGATGTTTACTTTTAACGAAAGCGATACTGTAATTCCTCCTGAGAAAGCTTTACCTGAAAGCACATTTATTTTTGATGACGTTTTAACAGAAAGTCAAGGTGTTATACGCGCTTATTTTGCTCGCGGTAGACATAACAAGTTGGATTTATTATATTGTGCACAAAGTTATTCATATTTAGATAAAAGAATTCTTCGTGATAATGCAAATTTTCTTGTGGTGTTCAAAATGGATCAGACCAACTTAAAACATATTTACAATGATCATGTAGCTACCGATATGTCATATAATCAATTTAACGAGTTTTGTACAACCTGTTGGAATCGTGAAAAATATAATTTTATAGTTATTAGCAAAGACGATGAGAGAGATAACGGACGGTATAGGCTCAATTTCGATACGTTTGTTACTATATAGAGTACAACTCGTATAACTATTTATTCATTTATCGATCAAACATGGCAGAGGAAAGTTACACTTTATTAAAAGAGTTAATACAGGCTAGAGAAAATATTAAACAAAAATTTAAAGATCTTAAACAAAATAATGCTAGAACCGATCATGTTATAAGGCAAAACCTAAATCCTATAATTGAACCTCTGCAAAAACTAACAGATATAAAATTAACTAAAATTAAATCAAAAGAAAACCTAGTAAATGAATCTATGCAAACAGATACAGAAGCCACCTCATCGACACAAGATCAAAACCCTGACGCGATAGACGTGGAAGACTTTATTAACAAACGCATAAGAACATGGTTAGAGTCTAGTAACTCGGATAAACTTTATGGGCCTATACAACATAAAAATGGTAAAATTACTCTCGGAGACTGCGCGTTAGTGTTTGAGGCTAAAGAAGAATCAGTTTATTTAGATAAAATATCATACCCCTTAACCACAGGTGTTTTGGAGTTATTGTTTTCAAAAAAACCTATGAACTATACTGAGACAGATTTAGGGAACTATAAAAGTATGTTAATAAAATCAAGTGTTCATCTGAATAAAAACAAAACACATATTCGCAAAGGAGGAAAAAAATATAATCTCATTGTTGGTTTATTCGCCAAAGGTGAAGGTCTTACTTTAACGCTAAGAAAAAACGTTAAGAAAGAACTAATTTTTTGGAAAAATCCAAACGATTTGTGTGAACGTTTAAAATTACTATTAGCTTCACAATCAGCAGGTAATACAGGTGTTTCGAATGAAATCACAATAATTTGGCAAGAGCTACTCAAGTCTAAGCTAATTAAACGAATTCCCGATGTCTAAACGGGAAATTGCTAACGAACTACACAGGCCTGCAAGAAGAAATTATATAAGAAGAAAGGTTGTATTATATGGAAAAAATGATTTGTTTCAAGCAGATTTATGTGAAATGGTACACTATGCGAACGTTAATAAGGGGTATAAATATTTACTCACAGTATTAGATTGTTATACTAAATACGCATACACAGCACCTTTAAAATCTAAAACCAGTAAAGAAGTAACATTAGCAATGGCTAAAATATTTAATATTCAATGTCCTAAACTCCTTCAGGTGGACAGAGGTTCAGAATTTTACTCAAAAACATTTGATGAATTAATTGAAAAATATAAAGTAAAACGATATTCTACCTTTTCGACTTTGAAAGCCAGCATAGTCGAAAGATTTAATAGAACGCTTAAAAATCTTATGTATAGAGAGTTCACAGCTAGGGGTTCATATAACTGGTTAGATATTCTACCATTAATAACCGAAAAATATAATCATACTATACACAGATCTATAGGATTAACACCTGCACAAGCTAATGCAAACCCTTCACTAGTTAAATTACGTGAACGTGTGATTCCATATAAAAAAATCAGATTTAAAATTGGTGATTACGTCAGAATATCAATTTATAAAAGTTTCTTCCATAAAAAATACCTTCCGAATTGGTCTACCGAGGTGTTTTGTATTACTAAAGTCAACAAAACAGATCCCCCCACTTATTTACTTAAAGATTATAAAAATAATCCTATATCGGGTTGTTTCTACACCGAAGAATTGTCTAAAACCAACTATCCACATGACTACTTAGTGGAAAAAGTTGTTCGAACTAAAGGATCTAAATTGTATGTTAAATGGTTAGGATTTCCATCGACCGAAAATAGTTGGATAAATAGGACTGATATAAAGCAACCATAGCCAGTCATACGTTGACTATGAACGTGTTTGGAGAGACTGCTGATACATTTATAAACAATATAATTTCAACGCTTGACGATAATAGCAAACTTATAAAAAATAACGATAATAAAATTTCAAGTATTACAAAACAGTTGTATGACATACAGAAAACAACATCAGATAACCTTGAAAATATTAAATCTATAGAAACTACTATAGAAAAATTCAATGATGATAATGAAATTTTTAAGTATACAACTGATAAAACAATCGTAGAAATTCTTAATAGTATTCAAGACCAAAACGATGTTCGAAAATTAGATGAACATATATTAGGCCGTATAAGTTCTTTAGAAGTGTTTCTCGCAGATAAATCAGGATTTAAGAAGCCGGCAAATTAGTTGATTTATTTTTTCATAATGACTTCTGCTATTTTGGATATGGAATGCATTATGTCACCAGACTCTAATTATTTAATAAAAGAATTATCTGTAATTGCAACTGACACATGGAATACACAACATTGGATATTTAAGTACAACTTTACACAAACTTCAAACAAAAACACTCGAAACGTTAACAGGTGGCTAGCTAGAAACCATCACTCAATGACACCTCAATATGGAGACGTTGAAGCAGAAGATATATCGAGAATTTTAAATTCTTTAACATTTACAATCATCTATGTCAAAGGGCTACAGAAAAAAGATATTTTACATCAGTTTATACCACATATCCAAATAATTAACCTTGAAGACATCGGATGCCCTCGCTTATCGGAACTAACCACTGAAGAATCATATCCATCATGTTTATTTCATATGAATTTAAACCCTAAACACTGTACTTTTTATAAAATGTTTGCATTACGAAATTGGTTTGTAAACATCTCATAACCTTGTATATTATAATGTATTTTAGTTTAACTTTATTTTTAATAAAAACAATTTATTTATTATAATTTAGTAGTCTATTTTTTTTATTTACATTACGAATATAACATAGTACATGTAAAGATATTATTTATATATATATATATATTTATTATTATAAATTTGAACATTGTTATTGTTATAAAGTGGAAAAAAAAGGGGAGGGAACATTAATAAATTTTATTTACATATTCTCACTACAACAATCAGAAGTGGGAGAGGTTGTCTGCACAAAACTGAAGTGTATAGAAAATATATATAACAAAACAAAAAATAAAATGGTAAAAAAAAAGTGTATATGTACATATATAATAACACTTTATTTACAATAAAAAGGTTGAGGTTAGCTACAATATAATTCATTTTAATATTAAATCTATATTATTGACATTACAAGTATAACATACATGTACAGATATTAGTTAATTAAACATATATTATATGCATGTATTCACAAATTTAATCAATGTTATTGTTATAAAGTGGAAAAAAAAGGGGAGGGAACATTAATAAATTTTATTTACATATTCTCACTACAACAATCAGAAGTGGGAGAGGTTGTCTGCACAAAACTGAAGTGTATAGAGAATATATATAACAAAACAAAAATAAATAAAAGGGTGAAAAAAAAAAAATAACAATATCTATAAACTTAATAATAAATTGGAAATTATAGTTCTTCTTCTTCTTCTTCTTCTTCATCTTCTTCTTCTTCTTCTTCAGCCATCTCCCTATGTTTAAATAAATTGTTTATATAAGTAACATTTTTTTTTAACAAACTAGTGATTTTATAACTTACATTAGTTTATAATGTCCATAAGGTAAAGTATGTATACGGTCAGGTAATACAACTCTCTTGTCGTCATGTCGATTTAACGCTAGCTTGAGGGTTGAAATGGTTTTAATATTATGTTTATAAGAACGGAATGAGTTCATCGTACGGTATGGATTGAATGCATCAGGATCTTTTCCATTGATACCTTGGAATAAACAATCCATATGATCCTCAAATGTCATATGGTTCTTTATTACATGGTAAGCAACGCCCTTAGCTTTAATATGTTCATGTCCAACCTGTATGTAACCATACGATTTTGGTTTTAGAGCCACTTGTTCCGAGATTATTTCACCTCCAGTCTCATCTAAAACATATTAGAATTATTACCTATATACAATAAAAAAAAGAAACTATTATATTGTATAACTAACCTGTGAAAGTTCCGGGAACTTTTTTTCTCTCGGTTCTATAACACGGATGAGATGGCGGGAAATTAGATGTATCCAATTTTTCCAGAAAACCCGGTTTGGTTAGCATGTCATGGTAAAAGTCATCTGTCTTAATTAAATACATTAGAGAATCTGAAAATATTAATAATAAATATATATAATAGTTCTTCAATAAAAAAAATAATAATAGTATTACCTGTATCCATGTATAACAGTTGTATGTCACATCCATAGTATTTTTTCATTACATTGTAATGAAAATTATACATTAAAGTCTTGGAGATTTCCAAGACAGTAAATCCTACATAAATAGGCTTATCAAAAGTTAAAACTGCCTTGTGGAGGTGTACCGCATACAAGTTTTCATTGTATTGCGTTACACCCTTAAATGTAGGCTTGTTTATCAGTTTTTGAAAAGCTGCAGGACTGCAGACAAGAGACATCTTCATGCGATTGCGCACATTCTCCATGGTTTTACCTATTAAAATAATTAAGATGATATTATTTTTTTAAAAAATTATTATTTTAAATATAATTATATATATACACATTTACCAAAAACTGCGTTGTTCATGAGCTTAAAGAAGTCCTTTTGGAAGTCGTCGGTTGCTTTTTTCCTCATTTCCGTATTGAGTGAAATATAGCTAGCTAACCAAGGGCTTTGGTCAAATTGAAGTACCCTATGCACCTTTTTTAAAACAAGACCCTCCTTCAGAGCCTGCTTTAAAATTGAGTGGTGCACAATATACTTTTTTTTATCGTTTAACGTTAAGATTAATTTTTTTATCTTTGAACCAGGAGGGGTAATCTTCTCACACATAAACAGCAGATCTGAATGTTGATCATGAAGGGATTTCGGGTATTCGACATCAACCTCTAAAACCAACCCGTTTTCCGAATTGTCATCTATTCTGTCTAAACGGTTTTGAATAGATTGTACAGAAAGATTTCCTTCGTACCATTTGAAGTTACCAGTTGGTATCGTTTGCGACATTGCCCAACCATATCTGAAATAATTATATGAAAAATAAAAAAAATAAACTATAAATACAGTTTTTACATTATTATTACTCACAGATTTGTTGCATCAAGATATGTTATCCATCTGTTTGGTTCTTCGGGATTGTATACGGGCGCCTTGCTGTGGTTAGCTTTAGAGTATCTCTTTGAAGCTTGACAGATTCCCCCTCTTACACCTAAATTAGATAACGAATGTTAGAGATGTAATATCAATGAAACTTATAATTGTTATTACCTTGCTCGAACATAAGTAACATGTCATAGTCTGATATCAATTCCAACTTGGCTTCAGTGTGTTTCAAACACACATCGAAACTCATACCAGGGATAGTATAATAATGACAGCAATCGATTTCATATGTTTTTAAACAGAGCTCCCTAAAAGCTTCAAAAACATCACATAAAATATGTACATCCAATTCGTTATACCTGAAAAATATAAATAATTATCAGACTAAGATAGAATACTATTAAATATATCACATACCATAAGCTGTATTCGCCTAAAGTTTTGAATTTAAAACGATTCCATACATTTTGAGCGTGTTTATAATCATCTTGGGAAATATTTTTCTCAGTCAGTGAACTAAAAAAAAATGATTTTAATTTATTTTATTATTATTATTTTTTTTATGTAATATAATTATTATAATTCACCTGTAAAACTGTTCTATAGGCGGTAGACACTGTTCTTCCAATTTTTCCCATGAGTCCGTATAATCGTAACAGTAAACACCTTTACGAGTAACCATATCCAAATCATCTTCACCATATGCACTTATCACAGAACGGAACTTTGTCTTATCGGATCGAGCAAGGTTATTGGCTAATTTTTCTAAACTACTAGCCATAAAACGATAACTATCCAGAAAACGTATAGAAAACCTATTCGAAATATATTTTGAAAAAGAAATAAATTTTTCTTCACTATTTGGAATTACGTTTATTGTATGCGGATCGTGCCCTAATTCATTTATTATTATATGGCTATCATAACTAGAGAGATTGTGCATGATGCAACTTACGAATTTCACTGTTTGCATCTTTAAGTTACACCTATTACAGACAGTCTGTCTATATCTACCGCTTAAATGATGGTGATCACGTACCGGATTATTTGTTAATGAAAATTTACATTTACAAAGAGGACATTTACCCCCGTTCACGATAGACTTATGGTTACTTTCATTCTGTGATGTCATACATATAGGAGTGTTGATTTTTAAAAGCTGTTCAATTTTACGTGCCACATCAGTAATGCTCTGTATAAAATGCTTCGGTACATCGTTAGCCTCAGAATTTGCATTACCTCTGTATACAACCGGGGATTGCGGTATGTCGAATTGATCCATTAGCTCTGTCGGTACATCCTCGCTAGCTTTAACTAAATAACAATAACTCATGGGAACATGCTCTTGGGTGACAGTTGTTTTCCCAAAATGGTTGTCCCCTACAGGTTTCTTCAATAAACACTCGAAATCAGCGTAAATGACAAAATCGAGTTTTTGGGTGTTACCCCAGTTCTCAAACTGCATGTACGTATTTGGCGGTGGTAGAATTGGAGTTACTGACTCGTTCTTGACGCATATTCGTTTATGATCTTCAAGTCTAGCTTCTTTATCAATTTTACCCGGTTCATCGATGTACACCTTAAAACAGCGTCTGCAGATGGCTTTTTCCTTGGTGTTTTTAGACAGTTGACATCCAACCAATCTTGCAAGATTCTTGATATAACAGTAGTGGTATACTCCCTCTCCGTTGTTGAAATATAATATATCGTAATGATCGGTTTGTTCACGGTCACACACCTTGTATGGGATAATAATGAATTCATCCTTTTCCGCATTTTGAGACGTCTGGCCGTTGTTATTCTTAGATTTATTTTTATATGTTAAACTCCCCTTCTTGAAGCCGTACACGTTTATCGATACCCCTGGATTATTTTTTTCAAAATGTTTCACCTCAGATAATGGCACGGGGAAAGTAAGTCCCGAGAAATTGTGTCTGCTTGGCACATTCTGATAATGTGTGATACGGCTGGGGTTTGGCGCAGTAACGTCCTTGGCCATAATGCTGTATTTGAAGCACATATTGTCATTATTTTGTACGTTTATTGTTGCTTTACGATTTTCAATTGTCTCCGGAAGCGGTATAAAAGCTGAACCTCCAAGGGGTGTATATTTAAATACATCAAGTAGTATACCATCAATTTTCTCTAAAGAAAACCCGGATCCTTTCCCCTCCATCTCAGCCTCTTCAGAAATTATCTTAGCAAAGTCCTCGTCTATTGCCGATTCAATGTTCGTGTCCTGGAATAGAGTTCTTGCTGATGACTTGAATGCTCTATTTTCCAAAACATCTGTAGAAGGGATTTTATACGTCGATTCCAGTTTTAATGTATACTTCACCGCATTTTCGGCTACAAGTGTTCTTAATAATTCGAATAGTTGCGGTTTGGTTTCAGACAGGAAAGAGTCATAATCAGCTAACTGATTAAAATTTCTTTTGTAGAAAGTTTTACAAAGCCCGTTGAACCCACTGCTAGTTAATACAAATCCATCTGCTTGAGTAACTGCTAGTCGATGACGTTTCAATCGGGTGTTAGTTTGGTTGACGTTGTTTCTTTGTCGTTTACCTACACCTAATAATAAAATAATATTCCCTACTTAATATAATACGTTTACTATAATTTTCTAATCAAATTAAATAAAAAACTAAAAAAAATATCGGGCGTTGACGATAGGCAATTTTTATGTAAATATTTTATCGATTAAAAATAATTTCAGTTAAATTAAATCGTCCGTAGAGTGTAAAAGATTTTTAGATAATTATTATAACGTTTAAAAATTGTAATTTACTTCGCAGGATTATATTTTATTAACACGAAAAATATTTATACATTTAGTTAAATAGTATCGAAGTTAAATTTAAAAAAATTAAAAAAACGGTTGTAGACGGTGACCGATTTTTATATAAATTAGTTTATCTTAAAAAAAATAAAAAATATTTATACATTTAATCGTTAATCGCGTTAAAAATAATGCTTTTGATAATAAATTTAAAAAAATATTTATACATTTAATGGTTAATCATGATAAAAATAATGTTTTTAATAATAAATTTATCCAAGTTGTAATACTAACTATTCAATCGATTAGATATTATTATCTAAATTTTTAATCTAACCCTAGACTATCGTTTCACTTGTAAAACTATAATAAAAACAGGCGTTGAAGATAGGCAATTTTTTTAGTTAATCGTTTAAAAATTAATTCCAGAGTTAAATTAAAAAATTGGTTTTACTAATAATTTAACCAAGTTGTAATAATATCTATTTATACGATTAGATATATTTCTAATATACTATTAACTAAATTTTAATCTAGCCATATCCTAACGTTTCACTTGTAAAAAACTATATTATTGACTAACCTGATCCACTTGCCGAGTTTGATTGCGTATGTTCGGGGGCTTGTATGTAGTCCGGTAAATTTGCCGATGTTGATGGAATATTATCATATGCCTGATTACATAATTCATCACTTTCACTATCGAAGAAGCTTTCATGTGATGTGCCCCTTTGTTCTAAAAAAAAAGGGTATTTAATAATATTTACTATTTTACAAAAAAAAATGTTTATACTAACCTAATGTCTGGTTGTTGGATGTGTGTTGTATAACGCTAGTACGTTGCTGTATACGCTCATGTCTTCCATCCTGACCAGCTCCGGCTGTGTGAATATATATATTTATTTAATTAAATCACTAAATTTTTTTAAATTAAAAAAAATGTATCTTATTTTAAGTAATTTACATACCGTGCTTCCTTTTGCAGTGTCGAGTAAGATTGAATTTACTTTCACAATCAAATTCACATTCACCGCAGTAAAATCGAACACCATCATGAGTTTTAAGATGACGGTTTAAATTATGCTTTAAAGAGTACACCTTTTTACAAATATTACACTGATACATGATTAAAAATTTAATATGATCAATATAATATTAATAATATAATAATAATTGATTAATAATAATTTATTATGTTAAATGCGTAAAAAAAAATTGAATTGCGT